AGTGGCCTAAGAGTGGTTTACTTAGTAAAATATTTAGTTATGAACAAATGTTTTTGGGAAGTTTTAGTACAAGTGATATACGGGAAGAGTTAATGATTTGCGTCTGTCCTAATTTAAAATTTAATTATTATTATTTTTTATTTATTCTTTTATAATCTATTTATAATTTTATATTTTATTAATTTACTTTTACTTACCTGTTTAGAGAAATATTCTCTAATTTTTTCAAGATAATTATTAGCAAGTTTATTCATATAATTAAGAACTGTCTGATAGCAGGAAGAAAATCTAATATTATGCATTGTATCAATCACAGTATATGATGTTTTTGAAGCTAACAAGTATAATCTGATTTCTAATTTAAAATTGTTAATGAATTTGTTCCTCATTTCTGCTATTATATAACATAAACTTATAACTGATTTTCTCGCCTCTAGCTTATTATATTCTGATTTATTATTAGGAATTAATACCTCTACTATTTGGTCAAAAAAACCTTTTAAGTATGGATCTGCCTTTTTAATCATTTGTTGAAAATAATTGTGATCAAATTCTAGTTTAGAAGACTCATAATGCTTTTTATGTAAAAGTGTCGTAAGTCTTCTGATTTGCTTAGCAAATACTATATTATTTTTATTTATTTGTGTATTTTTATTATTTATTTTAATTATATTTTTTTTTCTATTTCTAATGGTTTAGAACTCTCTATTTTCTTATTTCTATTAGACTCAATGATGTCCAAATAATGCCTATAGCATAATTGGTTTCTGATAGTTAGATAGACATAAGAAGCATAGATCCTTTTTTTTTGAGCTTTTTCGTATACTAGTACTATAAATTTGTGAAACTGATCTAATTTTGTATTGCAATTTCATACTATACACAGGCCTTTATTTTTTGGAATCATTGTAAAAAAAAAAAAAGAATTTAATAAATGAATCAAATCTTTAAAATTATCTGGAACAATTTTTAGAAACTTTTAGAATTCCTTCACTCAAAAAATACAAAGAAGATCTTGACAAATGGTTCGAACTCTTC